CATGTATTTCGAATAAGATTCGACCGTGTCACCCCATGTATATGCGAGCGAGAACGGAAGAATCATGGAGATTGCTGACGTTTTTCTTACGCACACTACGTCGCGTATACGTATACATGAAATGTTTTCATGCTCATGCTAACAATTTTGTTGATTTTCTTTGCGCTCCGCTTGGAAGTACCGGAAAGTTTTTATTCTTTTCTATGTTGTAAAAATAAACCACCTATTTACATTTCTGACAAGTTGCAACTGAATGCTTATAATTGTTTTAAAATAACTGTTTCATGGCCAACTAGTTTTATTGCGCTTACTTATAAAGCAACAAAAGGATTCATTTTTGGGTTTTATAAGGGCAATTCATATTACTTTTTTGTATACTTCAAAGCAATCATAAAACCTTTCATAAGTGAAAATAGCATTAGCATCGGTAGGTTTTTTAATTAGCTTTATAGGGGTTTTGTAGATAGCTATAAGAATGTTTCATGACTTGCATTGTATATGACCGTGATAAAGCTGTAGGTAATGGTTGCAGCTGCAATAAAACCTTTATAAATTTTGAATATAGCCAAGCAGCTCTAGATTTGTTACTTGGGTCTGAAAACTGCCGAGTGGGAAGTAAAAAGGCACTGGGAAACATTGTTGCGGTCCCAATTTGTAGCCATGACCAGTGCTGTGGTTGTGGGTAGTCGCGGGTAGTCTACTTAGCTGCAAACCGAAAAAGTGTTTACAAAATAGGTAAAATACAGCAATCCAATTAGAGCAAAATCTCACCGCAAATGTTAAATATTAAAAATACACTGCATCCAAGTCAGTTCCCTCGAACACTTGCGCCCCCAATAAACAAGTTCGACGAAAAGTTTAAAAAATATTAAATAAGAAAAAAACTAGCATCAAGTAAGCTTAAATATCAGAAATATTTAATGAAATAAATAAATAAATTTGAAATGGCAAGCGTCCCTGGTAGACAAGTTCAGAGAAAAATTACTTAAATCGTAAAATTTGAAAAGTGTTGCGGGGCGCGTACGTAAGGGGCGCCAACTACTACAATTTTAAAGTATTTAATCAATTTTTAAGATTTTTTTCTCCTGAACATGTCTACCAGGGGTCCTAGCCCTAGCTATTTCAAATTTTATATAGCCCCTGACAAACACGTTCCGAAAAAAACATTTAAAAAGGATATATTTGAAATGAATTGCGTCCCTGATGAGCATGTTTAAAATAATTAAAACCGTTCAGTTTAAAGAGGATAGCGCCCGTAATATACATGTGCATGGAAAAATTTAAAGAAAATGATAAATCTGGAAAATTAAAAAAAAAATTTAAAATTAGAAACAGCTAGGACCCCTGGTAGACATGTTCAGGAGAAAAAAATATTCTTAAAAATTGATGAAATACTTTAAAATTGTAGTAATTGGCGCCCCTTACGTTCAGGAATTTTTTTTTTAAATAATATATTAAGTTTAAAATGGCTTTTACCTCAGGTAAACATGTTTGGAGAAAAATTGACAAAATAATAAATGTGAAATGGCTTGTGGCCTGATAAACATGTAACGGAAACAATCAATCATCGCCTCTGATTGGGGGAATAAATAAAGTTAAATAATACTACTGAACTGTTAAAAAGTTCACCTGATTGAGGTTAACCACTAACGGTGCAAATCCTGATTGGCGGACAAAAGATGGCTCTACTTAGTGGCGTAAGATAGAAATTTTGACATGATGGTGCTTTCAAAATTCTTTCACGGGGAGGTATGGGAGAGTAGTTTGGAATCATATAAAAAAAGATCGACATCACTTCAGAAAGCACTGAATCACTTGAAAATAGTTCGGAATCACTTCGAAAAGTACTGAATCACTTAAGAAAATAATTGAATCACTTCATAAACATGCGGAATCACTTCGGATAGTACTGAATCATTTCAGAGAGCACTGAGTAACTAATGAAAAGTTCTAAATCACTTCAGAAAGTACTGAATCACTTGAGAAAAGTTAAGACTCACTTCGGAAGTGCTAAATCACTTCAGAAATGTTTTCAATCAATTCGGAAACTACTGAATCACTTAGGAATGTTCGGAATAACTTCTGAACGTACTGAATCGATTCAGAACAGTTTGGAATCACTTCAGGAAATCCTGAATCACTTCAGAAATGTTGAGAATCACTTCACAAAGTATTGAATAACTTCAGAAAAGACCCAAAACACTAAATAAATATTCGAAATCACTTTGGAAAGTACTGAATCATTGCGGAAAGTTCACTTTGAAAATAATTGAGTCACTTAGGAATGCTCTGAATCACTTCAGAAAAAAAGTTTATGATCACTTCGGAAAGTACTGAATTAGTTCAGAAAGTACTGAATCACTTCGGAAAGTATTGAACCACTTTAAGTTCAGAATCTCTTCGGATAATATTGAATCACCTCAGAAAATTTCGGATTCACATTAGAAAGTACTGAATCATCCAAGAAAGTTTGTAATCATTTCCGCGAGACCAGAACCACTTTAAAAATAGTTTTATTAGTTAGGAATGCACATAATCACTGCAGGAACGTTCGAAATCACTTCGAAAATACTAAATCGCTTCAGAATGTTCATAATCACTGAGCACTGAATCACTTCAGAAATGTTTGGAATCACTCCTAAAAGTACTGAATAATTCCAGATAGTTTGTAATCACTTCCGAAAGTACTGAATCACTTCAGAAAGAATTGAATCACTTTTGAACAGCTTGAAATCAATTCTGAAAGTAATGAATCACTTCAGAAAAACCTTGAAATTCTTGGGATTGTATTTAATGACTTAAAAAAAATCTGAATCTCTTTGGAAAATACTTAATCTTTCCAGAAAGTTTGTAATCGCTGTCGTAAAAACTAAAAAATACATCGGAAAGTTCTGTATCAATTCTCTCAAATTTGCAATCACTTCTTCAAGAGCTGAATCACTTTGTAATAACTTCAGAAACGTTTGGAATCCCTTCAGAAAATATTTAGTCACTTCAGAAAAATCGGAATCACTTTTGGGATCACAGAATCATTTAAAAAAAAAGTTCAAAATCTCTTCGAAAACTACTGAAACACTTTAGAAAATCTCGGAATCAGTTTGAAAAGTACTGAATTACTGCAAAAAAAAAACTTCAACAAGTACTGAATCACTTCGAATAGCACAGACACAATTGAGCATGAAAATTGTTAACTACTTAACTACTTCGTTATCAATAGCTAGAACCTTATAAACGTAAAAACGTGGCACTGAAACAGAAAAACGTATTGCCTACATATTAAGGTTTTCAAAGGTAACATCAGTTGTAACAGCACAAACATCTCTGGTTCTTATTTCAAATATTTGCGTAGCAACGATTGCATTATTGCAGCGCACACATGCTTGAGGAGTTTGGCATTCCACTTTTGCTTAAAGTAGCAAAGTTGAGTTCACGTAGTTTCCTAGATAAAAGTACTTGTACTTGTGACTTAAGAAGGGGGCCTCGCAGAAACAAAAGTCCGTTGCGGCATTGCTTCGGTTAGCGCAGTAAGGGCTTCTTACTGGTAGTTTTGGAAACTTAGTTTTGTCCACGAATGTTTAGGAAAATTCTAGAAATTGTTCAAGGTTTTTCCTGAAATAAGGAGAAATTCAAGTAAGATAGATATAAGATAAATAAAAAAAAAACTCAAATTATGGTGCTTGGAAAATGTTGACGGAACTTTCAGAAACTAATCATAATTTCAAGAAGAAAGGATAAAGGGACTTCGTCACCTGTAGAGTACGGTGCTGCTCGATGAAGTGAAAATGTTTTGCAACGTACTATATAAACTAGATAAATACACTATGTGAAACAACGCCATCAAATTCGCTGGTCAATATTGGGTGTGACTACTAAGCTCAAATTTTAGGAACACAGCACTGGCCATGACTGGCATTAAATTGGTATGTATGAGCCTGACATAAGAGGTAAAATACCAAAACAATGATCCCACAATATCATTCCAATGCCAAATTATGATAATGCAATACCAAAACAATACCACACAGGTATTCTTTTGGTACCCCAATATCAATTGTTGTAATTTACAAAGTATTTTGCATGTAATTTGTTGGTATTATTCTTTGATATTATCAACACCAAATTTAGGTATCATCAGAATTATGTATTCATTAGTTATTTTATCCTGCTCGGGATGGCATCGAACAAAAACTTTGGATTTATCAGTCAGTCAGTTTCTAGCCAAACAAGTTCAAATTTTGAGAAGCTTATTAGGATTCGATATGTAACCGTTTAAGCAATAATTTTCAATTTCGTATTTGTCTAAATTCATCATGTACTTCGTTTTGGTAGAGCTTATCGGGAACCGAAACCTTCTACTGCTCTACAGTCTACGAAGGTAATTTAACGTTATCTTTCATATCATACCTCAGCTGCACTTTGAGGTTCACTGAGCTTGTTTTTGAAGGTCCTAAGCCTAGAAGCTCCATCTAAATTTACTCATTGAACACTATAGCTTTGCTTTGACTTTTGTGATCACTAGAACTAGAACTGATCTTTACATATGATTAGAACTTTTCTTTGAAATTGTCTTGCCATAAGCGGGTGTGAAAACTTCATGCCGTGCGTTAATCTGGAGAGAACTTTCCTTTTTGAGTTAGCTTCCTTATAATTCATGTCTAACTTTCGTAGACTCATCGGCTTCAAACCAAAAAGCACGAATGCCAGTCGATCAATGATTCCACGAATTGACATTATCTTATCATGAGTCGAGGCAAATTGTGACATGTGCCATTTAATCTGACGTCCGCTGTCGAGCTGCGTCAGTCAAATTCGTTCCGAGGAGCAAGCATAATCGATCAAATTTTTAGTCATGAAGGTCCAGCTTTGTTTACTTCTACTCATAGCCATCGTGGCGCTGGTCTTGGGAAACGCCTGCAATATCGGACTAGGAAAACGTGAAACGTGTAAGTATGTAATAAATATAATTTTGACTTTTCAACTAATTTCCATCTTTTGCCAAGTTGATTTTGAGATGTACACACTGCACGCTAGCAAAGGACCAGAAATTGAAGCGCAAAACATGTCATTGGCGTTCAACTATCAAGTGAATCCGATTGATACCGTTGAAGTTACGGCGGCGCCGACTGGGATTGAACCCAGGCCTGCTGGGCTGAGAGATAATCACGCTTACCACTACACCACCGGCGCCGCTATATTTTTTGGTATATTACCTCTTATGTCATGCTCATCCATACCAATTTAAGGTATCGAGATATTCGTTCCTGCTCGGGATAGACCATTCATCGGTGGCGGTGGCGTGCAAACCATTTTTGCCTCGGCGGCGGCGGCGTAGTGGCGTGACGCCGATGACTTTGATCGCCAAAGGCAGCGGCGGCGTGCATCGGCATATTACGGCTCCCCCACACTGGCGCAATTTATTCGCGGCAGAAAATTCACCGCGTTTTATTTGCATGGCGGCTTATGGGAGTGCTCAAATCAACGCGGCAAAACGACGTTTTTCGTTAGTTTTTCAGCGATTTTCTTGCGGTCGCTTTCGATTCGCTGTCTGCAGCGCTTTTGCCGCTGAAGAAGTGTGGTATCCGTTCTGACGATTTGTATTGACGAAAAAGTGTAGCACCTGTTCTCTGAGTGCATTTCTTCACCACTCAGTGATTTATAAAATTAAAATTGGAAGAAGAGAACTTCTGCTTGCTTCGAGGAAGATAATCGAAAAAAGTTAAACGAATTTCAAAAAATTCTACTAACTTTAAAAAATTCTACGAAATATTGAAAACATATCCAATAGTCTTTTTTGAAATCATCGATCAGCTTTTAATTTTTTTTGACGTAGGACTACGTCTGTGATTTCTACATGGGGGTACACTTTGTGAAAACCGAAAATGGAACATGTAACGAAATTATGAAAGATTTTGTACGTTTCTAACTCTGCTGCCCCTGGACCAATTTCAATAATTTTATCACAAATCGATCAGAAATATTTCCACGCATCGGTAGAAATGCTTTCAACTGTTGATTTTTAACAAGAAACTATTTAAAACGTGGTAAATGTTAAGCATTGACCAAAAGCATCAGAATAACTAACAAATCACTAATTACTAATTACGTACACGCATATGCTGTTCCCCAACACAGTCATCAGAGATTCATTTCTAGACGAAACATGTTGATGTAGCATTGCTGCTTCCCCAACACTGTCATCAGAGAGTCGTTAGTAGACGAAACAAGTCGAAGTGGCATTCGCCTCCGATCTTCGGGCGTGTGCGAATAGGGAGGATGCAATTGCGTAACATTTTGCAAACTCATCGCCATATTTAGAACCACACGCCCCCAATGACCACACAAAATGCTCTCCAGATTTGTAATCTTGTAACCAAACGTGGAAGCAGGGGTGAAAGTGATTTTGATCGATTCTCTTCATGGACTTTCTGTTTACACACTTAGAAAAAATAATGCAAATTAAGCTTAATCTCGGCAAGTTTGTCACTGAGATCCATCAAAATAAAATGCCGAGCTGCTCGGTGGTGCCCATCTCGGCAAAAAAATCTAAGTGTATGGGTGGACAGTGATATTCTACCGGCTATTTCTATACAACGCATAATTTAGTGTAGAAAGGCACAGCAGATGAAGTGTATGATAAAATACCCAAAATGGGTGGGGCATGATTGTCTAGTTTTCGAAAAATTATTATTTTTTCATGTCCGATTGACAAGCGACAAAACCGTAAAAAGAGGAAGAACTTCAGCTGATATGACCTTAATTGTTGCTTTCGTCCGTACAGTAGTAGACCGAAGCTCCTCCCATTTGGTCGTGTCGTTAGCATCTAGTGCTTCGTTCGATGTCCAGTGCCAGATTATTTATTGAATCACATCGCAGGCTTTCCCTGTGTAGTATCTTTGCATCTCTCAGATGAATCACATTTCATCGTCATTATTATCTTCAAAATTTTGAAGACGACAACTACGACTAGCCGTTCGAGAGGAAGCCGTGCTCCTGTCTATTCTAGTTCCTGTATTTCCAGGCATCAAATTGCCGCTCTTATGGAGTATTTTATGGACAACCGTTCGAGAAGAAGCCGTCCGCCTGCCATTTCTGGTTCCTGCAATTGCAAGCAGCAAATTGCTGCTCTAATAAAGGTTTCTGTGTACGACCAGAAGCAGAAGACTAGCCGAACTCGCCAGAGAAAGTGGAGAAATAGCAAACTATTCATGGACCGGAAAATTCGGGTACTTGGTAACAAACTGTTTGTTACCTTCAGCGTGCCGCTCATGTCTGTTCACCTGGCACATCTGAACCGGTTGAATCGCCGATTAAATTTACAATAAACGGCCCTTTTCAGGGCCACCAATTTATCTTCAAGAGAGTGGCTGGCCACCAAGATTTTGCAAAAGAGTTAAATTTCTGAGCATGTCCCAACTAAAATTCGTACCAAAAGGTTTTATTTTTATTTATATTTTTCCAAAACGTCAGAGAAAGAAGTTAGATTGTGACACCATCTTTGCGGAAGAGTTTTGAACTATTTGTTTATGTCAATAGATGGTCCTTATTATGACGAGAAATTTTGCCGAAGACACCAAGTCGCGGAAATGCTTTGTTTCGGAGTTATTAATTTTGCTCCGCTAGGTTGCATTCCTGGCCCAGTGTGCATGGGATGAAAGCATAACAGAATAGCATAATGCATGATTTTATTACGAGAACTATTTTCTTTTTACAAGAGCAATTCAAGCTGAACTTTGCATTAGGTCCTAAGTAACATTGATCGATTCTCTTCGTTGAATTTCTCTTTCGTTAATAGCTTATTCACAGAACCGTTTCTTGATGTGTTTGTCGTATTGGATGCTAGATAAAAGCTTCTTTTATCGATTTATGTGCTGAAAATACCTGGGAATGTCTTTATATGACCGTGGGGATGCAAAGAGAAAGTTGACGAAGCGAATCTGTCAATATTACTTAGGACCTAATGCAATGTTCAGCTTGAATTCATTTTTTTATTTAAGGGCAAATGTATATTCATATTCTATGGGTGCAACCGATGAATTTTACAAACATTTAGAAAAGTTTTTAATGGTACATTAACCTTTATGAAAAGTTATGCGTGATTTCAACCTTTTTGCCCTAGATTCGACCGTGTCACCCCATGTATATGCGAGCGAGAACGGAAGAATCATGGAGATTGCTGACGTTTTTCTTACGCACACTACGTCGCGTATACGTATACACGAAATGTTTTCATGCTCATGCTAACAATTTTGTTGATTTTCTTTGCGCTCCGCTTGGAAGTACCGGAAAGTTTTGATTCTTTTCTATGTTGTAAAAATAAACCACCTATTTACATTTCTGACAAGTTGCAACTGAATGCTTATAATTGTTTTAAAATAACTGTTTCATGGCCAACTAGTTTTATTGCGCTTACTTATAAAGCAACGAAAGGATTTATTTTTTGGTTTTATAAGGGCAATTTATATTACTTTTTTGTATACTTCAAAGCAATCATAAAACCTTTCATAAATGAAAATAGCATAAGCATCAGTTGGTTTTTTAATTAGCTTTATAGGGGTTTTGTAGATAGCTATAAGAATGTTTCATGGCTTGCATTGTATATGACCGTGATAAAGCTGTAGGTAATGGTTGCAGCTGCAATAAAACCTTTATAAATTTTGAATATAGCCAAGCAGCTCTAGATTTGTTACTTGGGCGTAGTCCTACGTCACCATTGCATACAACTCCATAGGGCTGTCCCTTGTAGTTTTGAATCCTAATCAACAAGCAAAGTCTAAACGAATATCTAAAAGTCTGTATTTTTATTATGATCAATTGAAGATCTGCAAAGGTGTTCTAGTTCAAATGAAGAATTGCAAAATTTCCCCATGGACTTTACTGAAATCTTCGAACAGACATTCTAATCAGCCCGTCATATTGGAAGAATATCTGAGAGACGACATTTCAAATTTTGAATACATGGAGATATTCACAATGAAACATGATCTTTCTAGACCTTGCTACATTATACAGATCTTTGATCAACTGAATGCCTTTGGATTAACTCTCAGTCCACTACCTTGACATAATATCCGAGATACATGATTTGAATAACTGGATAGATGTAGATCTTCAGAATAATTTGTTATCGATGTGAATTCTGTAATTATTTAAAGAACTTTATGGAAATTTTGGACAAATATAAGATTTCTGAAATAATTATTGATCAATCTGCGATCTCTAGAGAATATTTTTGATCATGATCTGAGTTATTGAAAAACAGAGATCTTCAGAATATTGTCTGGTCAACATGAAGTATTGTCTGCCATAATATCTAGAGGACTTTATAAAGGTTTTATATCAAAAGTAGGTCTATACAAAAAAAAATCCTGAAGCCTGCTTTCTGAAAGAAATATCTAAGGAACATGATTTGAGAAACTGGAGATCTTCAGAATAATTCCTGATCAACCTGATGTTGTGACAAATGTCCAAAGGATTTTTTGTAACTCTTTGATCAATTGAAGGTTTTAGAAATAATTTCTTATTAACCTGCTATCTTGCGATACTATCCAATAGGGATGATTTGATACGTTGAATAATTCAAGATCGTCAAAATAATACATGATCAACCAAAAGTCTTAACAAAACATCCAAAGAACTTTATGCAGGTCTTTGATCAACTAAAAGTCTGTGAAAAGATTGCTCATGAACCAGCAATCCTGAGAAATTGTATGAGGAACATGGTTTGAATTATTGACCACTTATAGTTCTTCAGAATAATACCTGGTCATTGTCTTGACAAAACATCCAAAGTACTTTATGCTGGTCGAAAAAAATAAGGTTTAAGGAATAATTTCTGGTTATCCTGCTATTTTGAAAATTTCTAGGAACCTTCTATCCAGAGGATTCTTCCATACCATTCGATACATCTTCAAAACATCAGCTCACATAGCTACTGGATATTTTCGGAATCTCAGAACGATATCATGTGACTTTTGTTGCACTGTCGGACCGACCAAGAGATTGTCGTTTAGTAACATTCCGTTGGACGTCTTTGCCGAAGCATTAAACACGACACGTAGCTTTGTTGTACGACTCAATGGCCGATGGCCGATGCGGCAAGAAATATTGATCAGGAGTGTCCTCTATTGTATCGATGGTTCCAATCTTCACCATGTGCCCCATCGATTAATACTCGTCCATTAAACACTTGTAAACTTCGTACAGTTGTGGATCCTTTAGCAAACGACGCTCCATCGACAGGAACCTTTGATGTGCTATAAGCTTCGACGTTCCCAATGTTGAACCTTCACGAAAGGATAATCTAGTCATGTACGAACGATCTGGAAACCGTTT